ATTGCACAGAATTAACTAGATATGCTACCAACCCCTTTAAAGATGTCAAACAGGGGCGCCTGGGTGGCTCATGGGTTAAAGCCTCTGCCTTCAGCTCAGGTCATAATCTCAGGGTCCTGGGATCGAGCCCCACATCAGGCTCTCTGCTCAGCAGGGAGCCTGCTTCTTCCTCTCTCTGCCTGCCTCTCTGCCTACTTGTGATCTCTGTCTGTCAAATAAATAAAAATCTTAAAAAATAAAAAAAAAATAAAGGTGTCAAACAAATCAAAGAAATTCTGTGTAGCAAACTTCTTTGTCAGTATGGCTTAGTGATCAAAAACCAAGTTTTAGGATTAGATGTATCTGAATATGAATTCCAGTTTTGTCACTTATTAGCTGTGTAACTTTGATCAAATTAATGTCAAGTCTCCATTTTTTTAATGTAAAATGGGGTTTAAAATAGTACTTACAACTCATATTGTTGTTGTATGTGCACATTTTATATATACAGTTTAGAACAACACCTGAAATATGCTAACAGCTCAATAAATATTAGCTATTATTATCAATAGCATCACCATCTTCCTAGTTCTCCAGATTTAACAACTCATTTTTGATGCATTCTGTCATTTAAAAAAAATAAATTCAATCAGCATTTGTATATTTTCATTTTCCAATATGATCTCTATTTTTCATTCCTTCAAACATTTAATTATTATTGCAGCCACCCAACTAGATTACTAGATTTCTTAATTCTTATAGGTTAAAGCCTCTTCTTATTTTTCCTTTATATTAGCTAGTACAATGCCTTACACATAAAAGTTTTGCTGTTACTAGACGAGTCACATAATCTTTACATTTATTTACTTATTCCTCCATTAGATCCCTTGAGTTCACTGAGGGCAGAAAGTGTTGTTCTTTTTTGTATATCTGCACCTGCCAAATTCCTTAGCAAATGTTTGTTCAACGAATGAATATTGATTAGTCTCCCTATCTCAATCCCAATAAACCTATCCTCAATTTAGCTTCCACACATACAGAAAGTAGCTCATACACTCTCGAATCCAGCCATTTATTCTGACCAAACTGGCCTGACCACAATATTATCAAGAGCAGTCTCACAGTATCAGTCAGGACTCTTGATTTTGTATCAAAAAACTCTGCTCAAATTATAAGCAGAAAAGGGAATTTATTAGTTTGCATAATTTGAAAGCTCAAGGACAGCACTAACTTAAGGCCTGGCTATTGATCCAAAGATTCAAACATTATCATCTGAACTTGGTCTCATTCTTTCCATCTTTTGGCTCTGCCTTCTAAGTTCCAGGCTTAACACTGTATTCTCTCAGCAACTGCAGAGTCCAAAGCATGCCTCTTTCTCAAGAGTTTCAATAAAAAATTCACAATTAACAGACATGCGTAGTGACTGGAAATGTGCCCATCTCTGAACAATCACTATGGCCAGAAGGATGGCCTACATTGACTGGTGAGGCCTGCCTCAGTCATGTGCACACCTTTGTGTTAGGGCAGGGCACCCATAAAACTGAGAGGGGTGATTTCCTAGGAAAACTAGAGTATTGTTATCAAATGAAAGGGGAATGCATAATGGACTGGTAAAATTAACTTATGTGCCATATACTCCAAGATTTATTTTGCATGTTGTCCACCACTGCCTGCAATGGCTTTCCTTCTTATTCCTGCCTATCCAAATCTAAGCTACATCCCTTCTGCCCTAAAAAATCTTCGGTGATCTCCAAGATTTTCCTTATCCAATGGATCAAGTTACCTATTCCCAAATAAATATTTCCCTTTTCCTAAAGAGCTATTTTTTTTAACAAACAAGAGTGAAAAACCTCAAGAAAATGTTCCTGATGAATTCTAATCATGTCAAGTTATAAATGGTATGGCTAATATATGCTGTTTTCTTAGAATGTAAACTCTTGAAGGACAGCAGGTCTACCAGATACAGTCTATACATTATGAGAGAACAGCCTGCATGGCAACTTTGATATATATCTGTATCTATATATTATACATATATATCAGATACATACATTATATATAAATATATAATTATAGATATTATACTACCTATATTAATACTAGATATTATAATATTTACCTATACCTGTATCTACCTATATATATATATATATATATATATATAGATTGAATATTCAAATAATTTTCCTGGCTTTAAATTTTAAAGAATGTAAACAAAACATTTTAGCTAACATAAGTTATATCTGAATTCATCAAAGTACCTAATACTACAGGTACACTATGGTTTTGGAGTTACCTCACACTAGGATCAAATCCTGGCTAATACTGCCTCTCCTGGCCTTTAACTACAGGTCTTCAAGCAAATTATCTAACAACTCCAAACCCTAAACAGCAACAGTAATATCTACCTGCACACAGGGAGGTTGTATGGTACAGCAGACAGAAAAGAGTTAGATGGATCTGGGCTGAAATTCTACCACTAATACTAGTTACAAGACTTACTCTGAGGGATTCCTCATCTGTAAATTCCCAGTGCCTCTTCATATGTAAATTGGGGATAATAATGCTTAGTCCATTGGTTGTTTTGAGCATTTAACAAGGCAATGTATTTTAAAACACCTAACAATGAAGAGCAAACAGTGTATACTCAATAAATGATGATATCCACATTAAATTATCTGTTTAAAATAATTCAAAGGGACACCTGGCTGGCTCAGTCACATGTGACTCGATCTTAACATTGTGAGTTAAGGCCACATTGGGTGTAGAGATTATTTAAAATTAAAACATTTAAGGGGAACCTGGATGACTCAGTCAGTTAAGCAACCAATTCTTGATTTTGGCTCGGGTCATGATCTCAGGGTTGTTGAGATCAAGCCTGTCAGCTCCATACTGGATGTGGACCCCGCTTAAGATGTTCTCTCTCCCTCTCCCTCTCCCTCTCCAAAAATAAAAAATAAAAAAATTTAAAAATAAAATAATTCGGGGCACCTGAGTGGCTCAGTTGGTTAACCAACTGCCTTCTGCTCAGGTCATGATCCCGGAGTCCCAGGATCCAGTCTCGAATCCGGCTCCCTGCTTAGCGGGGAACGGGCTTCTCCCTCTGACCTTTCCCCTCTCATGCTCTCTCTCTCTCAAATAAATAAATTAAAATTAAAATTTAAAAAATAATAATTCAGAGCACAGTAAGGGAAAAATTTATTGGGATTAGTTATTTTTCTTCATAAATAGCTTTGGGTTTTCTTTGTTAATATTTCTTCAAAGCAAAACATGTTAGTCCTAGAACTCTTTAAAAGCAGGTGAGATAATGAACCAGATAAACTCCTGTAATCAACTTGTTCTTTAGCTTCAGGCTTAATGTAGTAATACTGAAATGACTCACACCAATATAAAATCACTATATTACCCATCTCCTGAACAGTCATATGCCATATAACCATCTCCTGAACAGAATCAGGAAATCTGGGTATGACTGAGAATTTTAGATGTTGTCTATCAGAACATATGCAAAAGGCACATGGCTGTTCATATTTACCTTAGCAAGAAAGTTTAATTTCTGTAACATTCGCTAAAAATACAAACTATCTTCAGCACAACTGTTTCCAGAAAGAGATTAAATAATTAGACATTTAATTTCTTCCATTTTACACTAGAGTGAAAGCTTCTCTAGAAAGAAGTTTCTTGGGGCACCTGGGTGGCTCAGTGGGTTAAGCCGCTGCCTTCGGCTCAGGTCATGATCTCAGGGTCCTGGGATCGAGTCCCGCATCGGGCTCTCTGCTTGGCGGGGAGCCTGCTTCCCTCTCTCTCTCTCTCTGCCTGCCTCTCCATCTACTTGTGATCTCTCTCTGTCAAATAAATAAATAAAATCTTTAAAAAAAAAAAGAAGTTTCTTGAAGTAGTTTAACGGTTCCATTTATTTTTTTTTAACATGAGTGAATCATATGTAATACTCATCAATCTTTAACGAGTGCACAAAGAAAATTATTGAATCAAATTTTAAAATAAATTTTTAAATTTTATCTTAAATTTTATTTAAATTTATATTAAATTTTCTCTAAATTTTAAATTTCTAAAATAAAGTAAAATGGAATAAATGTAAGACATAAAGTACTACACATTCTTTCACTATATCAAAAAAAAACTATATCAAAATCAAATACTTAGGTACATCATACTATACAAACCTGTATAAGGCATTTTTTCCCCTCCTTTGTGTTAAACATGAATAGACTCGGTTTTTAATCTACTCCCTAAGGAAGCTATATTTTAAACACAAGAAAAACATTACGTTGAATGCCTCAGTCACCATTGTTCTCTACAACTAAGAAAACCAAATAATACCCAATTCCTTATTACCCTTCCTGTGTTCAAAACATGTAAAAAACAAAATAATGTTTATTTTTAAAAGCATTAAATACAGACACGGTAAACAATATATGTCTTTTCTTCCCTCAACTTTTCTAGGAGGCATGAGGAGGTAGAAAAGTAATGGGAGTCTGAAGTTATTTTCACAAGTAACTCTCCTAAGCCAACTAGATAAAGGTAGAGAAAGAAAAGTTACAGCCTAGGGTTCACATTAAAAACAACTCTCAAAGAAACGTCAGTGCTCAGATCAATGCTTCCCCGACAACGCAGTGACCAACGTTGCTCTGCTCTACTAAAAGAGATAACAATCCCAAATCTGAAAGGGCCTGCAGAAACCGGGGCGGGGCAAGGGTCTACCTCAAGCAGCGGCAGAAGTTAATTTTCTAGGAGAATTAAACAGTAGTCCTCTATCCCTATGGTCCTCTTCCCCGAGAGATGCTGCAGTCCGCCGCCTCGCCTCAGGCTCGGGGTCTGGCCCGCAGGCCCGGGGGGGGCTGGCCGGGTTGGGGCAGTTGGCTTCTCCCCGTTATCCGGGTCCCAAGCAGGCGCTATGGCACCGGTTGCTCCAACTACCTCCGAGTCCTGCCACCGTCTGGGGCGGCCTCCCGCCGCGCCCCAAACCCCACGTCGGCAGGGATGCCCCATGCCCCACTCACCGGCCCGGGTGGTGTCCGTCAGGTCGTGGTTGGCCGCTCCCCGGGGAAACTCCCTCAGTTTCCGGCCGCTCAGACTCAGCACCCCGGTCACTGCCGCCTCCTCCAGCGCTCGATCGAGGGAGCGGCTCCACGAACCCGGGCCAGGACCAGGGCCTGTCCCGGAGCTTGGGCCGCAGTTAACACCGGAGAGGTTACCTCCCGATGCTACTGGGCCAGAGTACTCTGGGGCCGTGGCCACAGCAACCAAACCCGCGGCCGCCATTTCCAGCCGACAACTCTCCAGCCCACAGCTCAGCGCATGCGCTGCCAGAACTGATGGGTGGGCGGGGAAAGGGGCAAACAGACCCTAGACGGTTCTCTTGATGGGCAGGGCTGCAGCGCCCCTCCGCACATCCAGGCGCTTGCCTCCGCCTACATCGAGGTTTTCAAGGGAAATTAAAACGTAACTCACATATCTGGAGCAGCCCCCTCCTCTAGACTCCCGGTAGCATTTTTACCATGCCTCTACGAAAATATCTTTTAGAAAACGCTCCTCACAGAAACTTCTCTGTCTTCCTCCCGCAATACGGGAGGGTTAGATTAAGCATTAAATTAAAGCTTCTCAACACTGCTGCTACCAGAAACATACGCATTGAGAGGGAACCCTGGGACGCGACATATAAAACGTTTTCCCAACTGCTGTCATTCTACACGCCAAGTGATCTAGATGGAGACGTGGATTTATTAACTATTATTGTCAGAGGTAAAAGTAAGTGCTAACCTGGCTACCAAACTCATGATCCTCATTGAAAGGGTTATATAAATGTTTTGGGTACTCCCTCCCTTAAAAAAAAAAAATCTTAACAAAAATAAAACAAACATTTTAAATAGTATTTGTCCTTTAGGCGAGATTTTATTGTTGAACAAATCAGGATGAACAGCATTAAAGTCTAAAATTTTTGTCTGGAACCAAAATTGAGGAAAAGAAAATATGACTATAATCTAAACGTGGGAATTAGAAATAGAATGGAAGAAATGGTGATAAAAAAAAAAAAAAACACCAAAATCACTGTTAACTGAAAAACTGGAAACTTCACTTTAAACCAGTTAGGTCTCATTTACATTGCAACCAGTCTCTAGCATATTCTTTTACATTTAAGCATTTAAGCCATTCCTGCTACATGATGTAAATTCCTCTACAATGAATTAACTAGTATTTATGGGAAATAAAAGAGGCTGTCAGGGTCCTTTACCTAGATTACAATCTAATCATCAGACAAATATACCAATTTGAGAGTAAGACAAAACAAAAGTGGGGTTAAGACAAGACAAAAAGTAGTGGGGTTAAGCTATCAGAATTCAGAGAAAAGGAATCTGTATCATGGATGAATGCTTTTGAATTAAATCTGAAGGACTATGAAATAGGCAAGGTGAGAGCAATATTCCAGATTGGGAGAAGTATCAACATGAACACACACAGGTATGATTTATAATGGTCCATGTGGAGAACATTTAGGGCCAAAGCCAAAAATTTCATGAGCCAGCAGAAGAAAACAGGGTTGGACAGCCTACCTAATCATTCAAAGCCCAACTCTTCAATGAAACTTTGATTAGCACTTCCCGCAACTACTAGATGGAAGAGATGGTAAAAACATTTAATTTTAGAGAACAAAGTTGGTTAGTAACAGTTGCTCAGAGAGTTGTTCTATGAACTCTTAATACTACATTCCAGGTTCTTCAGCAGCAAGTTGCATGACCAATTATCAATGTCTGTTATGAGCATGGGTTACTGCAATGGCAAGTGATGGGTCAGCTCAAAACAAATCCAATGTATGATTTTTTTTGTTGTTGTTCTGATCTTTCTTAATGTTTTGTTCTTCTTAGAAAGATTTTAAGGTATTTAAGAACAGGACCTCATTCTGTATTTTGTTTTTTAAGAAATATTTCAACTTCAAGAAATGTTTCAACTACAGTGACTAAAGCATCATCATATATTCCATATTAAATGCTACAATGCTAAAGTTATCAGATCTTTATAAAATGCACCATTGTCATCTGAATTTGATTACCTATTACAGTCTACATTTACACTAAATTTTTCTAGCAAGTTCTCCATAATATGGCATTTTCCTACCTACCTACACATGTATCTCATAACTGCAACATACCATGCTAATCCTGGTCTCTAAACTTCTGACCAAGTTTATAGATTGACATTACTTTGCCTATTAAGCCAGATTTTAAGGTCATTAATACATTAAAGTCTGTAATTACCTTCCATACTCCAGAGCTGAGTATTTTAATAGGAGCTAAGGATGAATGGAAGCAGACACAGATGAGTTAGGTACTAATACAGCAGAGGTTATATATTACTATGAAAATGGCAGCTTGGTTAGAGAGAGAAAAAAAATTTTTAGAACAGGGTAGATAAACCTATAGGTATTTGAAATCCAAAAAGAAAAGCCTGTGGATAGGAAGAGAAATGAAGATGCTATATATATATCACGAGAACAAGTCCTAAATAAAGAAAGGCTGGAAGAAAGGTAGATCAAGGTGTTAATTTTTAAGACTTACAAGGATTTTAGTTCTTATCTACAAAGGTAGATTATGAAGGAATTCTCATCCTACTCCTTCAGTCTTCCCCAGAAAATAAGTGAGAAGATCATCTTGTGAGAATGAGACACAGGAAATGGAATCACTGTGAGGATTTCACCAAAGTGTCTAGTGATGAATAAAGGTGATGAGAAACAGTTGCAAAAACGCTAAGAGCAAAAGGGCTACAGGGGCCTCTTATTCTACAGCTGCTCTGTGGTTTGGAAGCAGGAGCTGAAAAAAATAGGCAGTGAGGGTTAATGAATGTTAGGAATTGATACAGAGAACTTCCTGATTATCTCAAAGTTAACTCATTGAATGAATACCAGGGGCAATAGTTTCACTCTTATCTCAAGAGTTTTCCAATTCTGTATCTCAGTACCTCATGCAGAAACAAAGTCTTTTCCCCCTTCTACTCACTAGAAGTACGTTGTGGTCACTCCTTTAAGACTCCATTTTTATAAACTCAAAGCAGTAGAATTAAAATCTTGACCAATCTTACCCTCTTCAAATGTAAAGCACAGAAACTGACTTGATGAATACATTTAATAAATCCCTTTCTGACTCCTTTAATAAGCAGTGCTAATAACTGACTTTTTAAAACTTTATATAAGAAAATTTAGATAGTATGATCTTCTTCTCATTAAAGGAAAGTGGAAATAGTAGAAATCAGACACATACACACTAGGGAAATAATTTCCTATTCATCTTTAAACATCAGTAAACCTCCAAATCCAAATCCAAAATACAACTCAGAACAAGGGATTTCAGCTCCAGCATGGTATTACTACCTGGTTTCACCAAGCTTTTTGGTAATAGATAGAAGTAACATAAAGCAGGGAAAAAGAGGTGTTAAGAAGTCAACCATTTATAAGAAAATCTTTAAATCCCTATTCAATGGCCCACAATAGTATAAAATTCCTGTTGTAAATGCTTGGGGTTTATTGTTCTCACTTTTAAAAGGGAATAGCTTCCAACTGATCTACGTAAGAACTGTCTTTAAAAGGAAGCTTAAATCGTTTTTTTATATACAGGGACAACAGAACAATAATTCTGATGAAACTTCAAAAATCAGAAATGAAGAAATCATTTTCTGCCCTGATAACTGCCTGTATTCAGAATGTATGGTTTTCATTCTTTGTAGTCCAGTCAGCTATTTTTTTTTCTCACTCTTACCTCTTTAAAGTAGTAAATCTAGACACATTAAGAGACAAAATAAAGGAGCAAAGGGAAAAGAGAAAAAACAAGAAACAGACTCTTTTACTATAAAGAAATGGTTACCACAGGTGAGATAAGTGGAGGGATGGGTGAAATAGGTGATGGGGATGAAGGAGGGCACTTGTCATGATGAGTACTAGGTAATTAAAATATTTTTAAAAAATTAAATTAAAAGTTATCCTGAAACTGTGTATACTGTGTGAATTATAAAGCTGACAGTAAAACAGGATGTACATATTTATTTGAACAAAAAATTATCATTGGGCAATGCAGCCTACAAGTTTCTTCATACTTAAAAGTATTTTATGATGTGTTTGTAATTTAAATTGTGAAATTTATGCCTATTAGAAAAAAATATATGTCTAATTAGGAACACTGGCCTTTTCTAAGACATTTATATAACTTTAATACCAAAATAATTAAGTCTCAAAAATCATGGTAGAGTAGATTTACTGGTCATGCTACAAATGCTAAAACATGGCTATTACCATTTCTTAGGTATCTGACAACCAAACATCATTCCACTACTTTCTTTGTATGTTCAAGTCACAGAAGCAGTTTATTATGACATGAGAATTAAAAGACCTGAGCTCAAAAAGTGACTCTGCCACATGTAAGTCTTGAAAAGCTGAGCCTCACTTAACTAAGATATAGACCGAGAAGTTGAAATGGATGATCTTAAAAGGTTCATCTAGCCTGAAATTCTGCATTCTAAGTAAATTTGATTCTTTATTTTAAACTCTTCCTGGCTTCCTGTTTGGAGCTTACAGATGAAATGGTCAAAAGGCAGTCAGAATAGGAGTCTAGACTGACTTAACAATTTAACTGGTAGTTTTTCAAACCCCCAAAATTATAAATATAATCACTACAAAGTTCTTTGTAACACAGAACAATCTAAAAACCACAACTCGATCTTTATAGCTAAGAATAAATGTGAGACCTGTAAGATTTTATTTGTTAAAAATGAACAGCTTCAGAATAGATCTAAATTTGTAACTTTTCCAAAAAACACCAAAAAGTACAGTGTAAAGCATCTCCTCATTAAATACAAACTTTCATTTTGTGATGCACTGCATCAATGTTTTGCATACACCTTGATGCAAAGGAAATTTTAAGTTGTCCTGTTTAAAAAAAAATTTAAGAACTGAAAAAGGATGACTACAACCACATCCCAAGAAAGGATATTTTCCTCCAATAAAGCATATTCTTTTGTTTATATACAATGTTAGCACTCAAGAATTTTAATTTAGTTATAACAAAGGCAAAATTTCATATTTAAAAAGAAAATGAAATTAGAGATGCACAAAGAGCAAAAGTTTAATATACCAAAGACACTGTTGTTTGATGCAATTAATGTCAGTATTTGGGACAATTTTTAAGGTTTTCAAGAAAAATGGCATTAATAATAGCTCTGTACAGTATTTAAAATAAAAAAAAGAAAGCATCTTTATACCATATTTTCACAAACTGCTCTAAAGACAGCAAATCTGTGCTCAGTTGTTTTTTCTTTGCTTTAAAATAAGCTATCAGTAATTCTAAACCAGTCTAAAATAAGATGGACTGTTAATGGATGAAATCTAAGCATCTGTACTTACAAAAATGTTTTGCAATGAGTCCTTGGCCTACGGAGACTAGAGTTTATTTTCAAATTGTGTGACTGGCTTCAAATAATCCTTTATCAGTAGACTTAACTGGCAAAATACCAGGTATTAAGGATCAGATTTAATTCTTTGGTATAAGCATGAAACTGTTAGGTGATACTTTTCCGTGGCTAGCATAAACCAAAGTAACCCAAGGAGCATGAGAGAAAACAGTGACATCTAATATATAATGCAAGGCAGGCAAGAGTGATGACTTAATGTTTTGTTTTGTTCTATAGGGAAAATCAACACCAATATACTCTAGGGAAACTAACATCTATACTTAGAGGTTTTAACATTATAGCAAAACAAAAGGTTAAGCTTCAAAATGACTAGACTTGTAGCTGGACTGTGTTACTGCATTTTGGCATTATACTGTAACTTATAGTATACAACCATCTGAGGACTTTCAGCACTAGCTTGGCACAACAGATTAATTCCTCCCACTCCTCTAGAGTGTGGGAGAGAAAAAAAAACTCCTCTCACCATAAATGCCTAAACTTTATACATACAAGAAAGGTATGAAACAAGGTTACAATGTAATTCTATTACCATTTTGGATATTTTTCTTTGTGACATATACAAGTATGTTTTTTATTTTGAAACTGCATACTGTGTCATTAGCAAGCTTAAAAAGCTTATGAAATTTAACTTTTTTGAATAAGTATAGGACTTTATGGCTATTGATTTTACCATCAAAGTATCTAAGGGAATCAATCCATTTTGATAATTTTAATTCTTCTAAATATCGTTTGAAGAATTCTTCATGGACACTAGATGCAAGGCTACATTAAATTCAAACAGTATATCTGTGTCCTGGGTTTTGAAGTTTTTCACCTCAGTTCCCTGTCCTCAACCTGCTACTTCCTCCTGTTTTCTTCATTTTCTAAACACAATTTTCAGGTTTTTACATTGGACCTTCTCTTCTAAGATAATTTTGTAAACACACATTTATTTATAGCCTTTAAATATCAACATTTTAAACACAGACTAATGCCTAGAGTCACATTTCTTGTTAAAAGTTCAGCATTAAAAATTAACAACTCTGGAGGATTAACCTAATGTCATCTGAAAAGTAACCCAAATTCCAGATATTCCCAAAAATCTTAAAACTCAAAACTGGAATTCTAGTGATTTTTTTTAATATATCTAATGAAGAAAAGTCAACTGTACTTATTACATCAACACTATTAAAGGATGGGTGACAGCAACAAAGGGACCTACTCATATCTCTGAAGACCAAGATTTACCATGGCAAAGTGTAAAAAATGAACAAAAGTGATGAGATCCTAAATACCACTATCATAAAAATAATTAATTTCTATCATTCTGTGTTCTTTCTGCTTCATGAGGAACCAAAGAAGTCAAACAGAATTGTTCTGTCTGGACCATGAAATCTTAAGAACAGATAGGTATATTCCCTGTTATTCTTTCAGGGAGTTATTTATACATGTTAAAAAAAAAAAACACACTTCAAAAATAAAAATAAGAGTTATTTAGCCTTATGAATATTTTGAAATAAAGTTTCTTGAATTTTTGTGATGAACTCTTCAAGCAATTCAACTTTTAAAACAGAGTCATCACTCAAAAGTCCCTTTGACATGGATCTATCCCACAGTTACAAAACGGCTTCCTCCTTTGTTGAACGTGAGAGTAGCTCTTTGTTCCTTCAGGATACCAAATCGTTCATTCAAAGTCATCCCTGTCTAGAGAAAACAAAATAAAAAAATTAACAACTTGACTATTAGCCGTATTTGCTTAAGAACAATAATGTGATCATAACGGTAATTCAAAGCAACAAGTAACATTTCCTACATATTTATGCATACAAACTCATTTAACTCTAACAAAAACCACATATATGAATAGGTGAATTTAGTGACGTTCAGAGGAGTTAGTTAACTTGCCTACTTGCAGCTCCAGAATTTCAACCTAGTGATCTGACTCACAATCTCTACCTCCTAACCCCTATAAATGCCTACATTATACACTATATAAAACTCATTACCATAATGCCCACAAGTCATAAATCCAAGAGTTTCTCTATATGAATTGTTTTTAGGCTCTACAAACATTGCCACAAATTCTAGTGATGTCTCTGATAAAAGACAAAATCCACTTGTGAATATTTGAAACCTATTTTTTAAAAATTTTTTTTAAATTTGTTTGACAGAGAGAGAGAGAGAAAGACCACAAGTAGGCAGAGAGGCAGGCAGAGAGAGGGGGGCGGTAAGCAGGCTCCCTGCCGAACAGAGAGCCCGATGTGGGCTCGATCCCAGGACCCTGAGATCATGACCTGAGCTGAAAGCAGAGGCTTAACCCACTTAGCCACCCAGGCGCCCCGAAACCTATTTTTTTTTTAAAGATTTTATTTGTCAGACGAGAGGGAGAGAAAAAGTGCAAGTGTACACACTAGCAGGGGGAGCAGAAGGCAGAGGGAGAAGCAGGCTTCTTGCTGAGCAAGGAGCTCGATGTGGGACTCGATCCAAGGACCCTGGGATCATGACCTTAGCCAAAGGCAGAAGCTTAACTGACTGAGCCACCCAGGCATCCCTGAAACATACTTTCTTGAATTTCTCTGAGTTTTTGGATTTCTGTGAGTTCCTCACAGAAATCCAAATCAACATCTGGGTTTTTTTTTTTGTTTTATTTGTTTTTAAAGATTTTATTTATTTATTTGTCAGAGAGAGAGAGGGAGAGAGAGCGAGCACAGGCAGACAGAATGGCAGGCAGAGGCAGAGGGAGAAGCAGGCTCCCTGACGAGCAAGGAGCCCGATGTGGGACTCGATCCCAGGACGCTGGGATCATGACCTGAGCTGAAGGCAGCTGCTTAACGAACTGAGCCACCCAGGCGTCCCAACATCTGGTTTTTGATTAACAGCAGAACACACAACCAAATTATATGTCACCGTTTCTTTTTTTTTTTAAATATGTATGTATATATACATATTTTAAAATTTTATTTATTTAAATGACAGAGAGAGAGAGTGCACAAGCAGGCAGAGTAGCAGGCAGAGGGAGAGGGAGAAGCGGGCTCCCTGCCGAGCAAGGAGCCCAACACAGGGCTCAGTCCCAGGACCCTGGGATCATGACCCGAGCCGAAGGCAGTCACTTCACCAACTGAGCCACCCAGGTGCCCCTATGTCATTTCTGAAAGAAAAGTAACCATGACAAAATAAAATAAAAAGTAAAACAAACTTGGTCAAACTTCTGTTCATACTCCCTATTTCAATTCCACACATATCAATGGATTAAAAAAAAAAAAAAAAGCATTTGACAAAATCCAACATCCATTCGTGATAAAAATTCTCAATTATGAATAAAGGGAACTCCCTCAACCTGATAAAGAGAATCTACTAAAAACCCACTGCTAACATCATACACAATGGTGAAATGCTTCATGCTTTCTCCTCATGCCTGGGGACAAGGCAAGCATACCATGCTCTCACCACTTCTATTCAACACTGTACAGAAGGTTCTAGCCATCACAATAAAGAAGAAAAAGAAAAGGTTTAAAGATTGGGAAGGAATTTGAAGGATGACATGATTGTTTACAAAGAAAATTTTAAGGAATCTACAAAACTGCTAAAGTAGTTAAGTGAATTTTAGCAAGAATCACAAGACACAAAGTTGAATGTAATATAAAAACTGTCAAAACCACAGTGAGACACACCACCTACAAGCACTTGGAATAATCAAATGACAGGCAATAACAAGTATAGATGAGGATGTGGAGAAATTTAGAACTCTCATACATGCTGGAAGGAATGTAAACGGTGCAGCCAAATTGGAAAACAAGTCTGGCAGTTCATAGATGATAGGATCTAGGAATTCTGCTGGTAGGTTTTCATCCAGGGGAAATGGAAACACCTACTCATACAAAAGACATGTATGGGGCACCTGGGTGGCTCAGTGGGTTAAAGCCTCTGCCTTCGGCTCAGGTCATGATCTCAAGGTCCTGGGATTGAGCCCCACACGTTGGGCTCTCTGCTCAGCAGGGAGCCTGCTTCCCTCTCTCTCTCTGCCTGCCTGACTACTTGTGATCTCTGTCAAATAAAGAAATAAAATCTTAAAAAAAAAAAAAAAAAGACGTACATCAATGTGCAGATAACCATTATTCACAACAGCCACAGAATGGTAATAGCCCAAGTGTCTATCAACTGATGAATGACAAATTAAATACAGTATATCCATATGATGGAACATTATTCAGTAATAAAAAGATCATACCCTATGGATGAAACATGAAAATACTATGCTAACTGGGTGTGGTGTATAAACAATGAATGTTGCAACACTGAAAAAATTAAATTTAAAAAAAAAGAAAAGAAAATACTATGATAAGTAAAAGAAATCAGTCACAAAAGACCACGTTTTATGATGCTATTCATATGAAATGTCTACAATAGGCTCATCTATGGAAACAAAAAGTAGGGATGCCTGGGTGGCTCAGTTGGTTAAGCGTCTGCCTTTGGCTCAGGTCATGATCCCATGGTTCCAGGATCGAATCCCACATTGGGCTCCTTGCTCAGCAGGGAACCTGCTTCTTCCTCTGTCTCGCACCCCAACTTGTGCTCGCTCTCTCTCTCTCTCACAAATAATTAAGAAATCAAAATTTTAAAAGTTAAATAAAATAATAATAATAATAAAGAAACAAAGTAGATCCATCAGTGGCTTCCCAGGGTTGAAGAGACTTAGGACACCCTATTTAATCCAATACACACTTTTTTAAATTAATTAAGATATTCTCAATCAATGGCCCACAGAAATACAAACTAACAAAAAAATTTACCTGTTTTCCAACACTATTTATGTCAAATTGCAGGGGGACACCTTTAGGGACTTTCTTTACATCAGATTGTTCCCGTTTTGTCAAGAATGAGGGTACAGCAGTACGAGTTAACCGTGGTTTCTGAGTTCTGTTAGGAAAAAAGTTAATATGAAATCAGATAAGCTTAATAATCAAAAAAAGAAATAAATTATTTGGTACATAAGACATCTTGATTTGTACACATGTTCCAATGGATAGGGCTATTCTGTGTTCTCAAAAAAGTACACCAGTCCTTCCTTTTCCATAGGGTATACATTCCTGAACTGCCCCTCACCCCCACCGGCTGATACCTGAAACTGCAGATAGTACTGAACCCCTACACATAGTGTATGTTTTTTCCTATACATACATACCTATGACAAAGCTTAATTTATAAATTAGGAATGGTGTGAGATTAAGAATAACTAATAATAAAAAAAAAAAAGAATAACTAATAATAAAAAAGAACAACTGTAGCAATATACTGTAATAAAAGTTGTGTGAAAATGGTCTCTCAAAATAGTCTCCTCTCTCAACATGTTATTGTACTCACCATGTGAGATGATAAAATGCCTAAATGATGAGATGAAGTGAGGTGATTAATGTAGGAATTGTGCTGTAGTTGTCAGGCTACTACTGACCTTCTGACAATACATCAAAAGGAGGACCATCTGTTTCCAGAGCATGGTTGACTGGGTAACTGAAACCATGAGAAGTGAAATCACAGACAAGGGGGTACTACTACTGTACCTGGTTCTTGACTAATCTAGAGACTAAAATTTATAATCACTCATAGAATACCTCTTTAAGTAGAATTATAAACTTTTCAACAATCTGGAATGATTGGGGACTCATCCTCTGTTTTCTTCATTTACTAAAATGGCTGAAGAGATCAAATACAAAACAAACCTACAAAGTTTATAATGCAATAAACATAACGGAATGGTTAACTAAATTAAGGTCATCCAGATAAAAGAACACACGGGGAAGTCTTTAAAAAGAAGGCAGATCTGTAGGTACTGAAAAGTAAAGACAGAGGAGAAAATAGCAAATACATATATAGCATTCCCTCATTTATCATTATATATAAAAAAAGAAATGTATATACTACTTAGTATACATGCACCAACTTTTTTTTTTTTAAATAAAAACATGAAATTGTTAAAAGTGGCTACTTTGGGGCTACAGAACCAGGAATCCAGAGAATTTTAACTTTATAATATACTATTTCCACCCTGTACTACAAGTATTACTTTTATCTTTGCCTCAGTTTATCTTAACTTGGATATCATGAGCAGAAGTCCAATGCTTTTCTATTACCTACTGAATAGGTAACCACTGAGAGGTTATAATTTCTGCACAATAAAAGGAGGACTTACACTGGACACTGCACTGCTCCAGGATTATCAATAGAGACAGTCAAAATTCCTCCATTTGTGGTGGAAGTCCGCCATCTAGTTTCAAAAAACCAAAAACTTCATTGAAGTGCAAGTTTATAAAACCTGTAGTGTATTTCATATAAAAACATGCATTTTAAAGTAGATATCACTTTTTCTTAGCTTTTAAAAAATACTAAGCCCCACAATAATATAATTAATCAGCATCTTGGGTATAGGAACCAGACACTTAAATTTATTAAGTATTTTTCAGTGTAATAAATATATGTACATTCAATTAAATACAGAAAAGATTCTAATGAAAAGTAACAGTTCCCAGTTTTCTCCCACAACTTACTGCTCCCCAGAGGCATACCTCTCCTGCTCTCCAATGGCAGCAATTTTAACCTTTCCTATTTTTACTGTTTGCTAGTTCCTCCAGTTCATTGTTCAAGATGTGTATGTAATACTTTGCTATGATAAAATTTTAGGTATCACACTATCCTCTAGTTTCCCTACCTACCTCTGAACATTTTGATATCTATATATCACTATTTTACCTCCATTATAACTTCATATATACTTAAATCTCTCTCAGTTTCTTAAATCTCTTTCTTTCAATCTCTCTCAACACCATCCCCTCCCAACTTTGTATGAAAGAACAGTAGTACCTCTACTCCTTCCTTCCACCTCTTCTCCCACTTTGTACCTCCTATTTTTTTTATCAGCTCTACTTTTGTATTTATGTTACTCAAAATCAGACATTTTCACCATATTGTTAACCAAATAAAGTATTATGTGCTTTTTTCCCCCTATAGGTTTATTCTCACAAGTTCAAAACAGGGGCGCCTGGGTGGCTCAGTGGGTTAAGCCTCTGCCTTTGGCTCAGGTCATGATCCCAGGGTCCTAGGATCAAGCCCCGTATCGGGCTGTCTGCTCGGTGGGGAGCCTGCTTCCTCCTTTCTCTCTGCCTGCCTCTCTGCCTACTTGTGATCTGTCTCTCTCTGTCAAAAAAATAAATAAAATCTTTAAAAAAAAAAAAGTTCAAGACAAACAGCATTTGTATTATTACAATTATATAGGCATTGTTCATTGCAGAAGCAAACAGCTTATTATTATTTCTTTCCTTATGGTTCCCAATGTCATGACTCCCATGCAAAAGAGTATTGTGAACACCAAGTTCAAACAGTTTCTTTTCTTACACTCTGCTCATTTATAGCTGGCATCACATCTGGACTAACACCATGTTTTATACATTTTGTTTTTCAAAAAGTAGCCATAGTTCTAAATAATTTAATCTCAAAACCTGATCTTATTGATGGAATTAGAGTATTACAACTCACACGTCAGAAGTGCAATTCTAACAGACAAAAAATGTATTTTTAAAAAATGTTTATGGGGTTAGGGGATAAAAAAAGAATATGTGAGGAGGAAAAACATCCTATCATAAAATTAAAGGTTTACAAGTTTTCTAAAATCTCTATTGGATTTTCTTATATTTATTCCCTGAATAGGTTCACTTATATAAAGGCAGTTACAGATAATAAAGATCTATTTCATTAAAATGGAATAGGTCATTAATTTCTTTTTTAAATAGAGTGATGTATTTGTTGCTAAAACTCATAACATGGACATGTGAAAATATAAAAGGCTCTTGGGGGAAAAAAACAAAGAACAAAATGGATTCATCTATTTCAGGTCAAGGGTTAATATACTTTTGGTCTCATTTAATTTCTGGGTTGCTAGTATTCTGGGAATTTTGAAATGACATCTTGAAAAACAAATTGAAACTTACTGACGAGTTCTCTTTGCTACTACATCGTCTAGCAGTTGTTCTGTGTTCAACTGGGCCTGAACCTGAAGGGGAAAAAAAAAAGCAGTAGATCCCATAGAAAGCAGAGGATTTGAATCCAAAAAGCGATCCTGCTCTGTAACTTTATAACCCAGTGTGGTGTGTGTATGAATGCAAGAGAGGCATGTGACTATTCTGGCAATACCTCTTTGTTGGGGTTCCTATATCAGAACAAGTGGTAAAACAAATTTATACCTAAGTAGCACCTTAAACTCCTAGGATGCTGCTACTGATGACAAGAGAGAGAAAAGAAAAAATAAACAACCAAAAGAACTAATCTAATGTCACAGTCTCCATATCCCAAACCCAACCCCTACACCTCAACCATGGGCTATGATTGAGGATTATTTAATCCTATGACTGAGGATTATTACTAAAGGTAGATGTTCAAGATCCCTTGAGTAAAAAGAAAGCACCAGCAAGGGTTTTTTTTTTTTATATATATATACCTTTAGGCCTCTTCTGAAAAGAAAAGTTGCCTGACGAGTATCTTTCTGATGACTTAATTTATTTCCACTCCTGGTAAAACTGGTTGGAATGTTATTTCTGCAACAAAAACACACACATAGTGAATAGTCTCAGCCATTTAACAACTGTCAAACATCCTGAGAAAAAACAAGCAAAAATAGTTAAATTCATAGGTTGGACATTTGAGGTACACTAAACATAAAGACTCTGAATTATTTTCTTATTTACACAAAGCTATTGAGATTCAATTTATAAATATCTTTCTGTAGCATGCTACATAACAACCTAGTTAATTCTGAATATTCCAACATAGAATATCTCTTCTGAAGACATTAAAAATAACATTTTTAATGCTATTTCTTAAATTTGCTGAAAAACATATATACAGATTTATTTACAGGATTAGTAAAAAGAAAATCACAGCTAGGCATATCCTAGTCAAACTGCTGAAACCCAAAAGTAAAGAGAAAATCTTGAAAAATAACACCTACAGTTTTCCATTCTCACTCAGAAACCTTTATATATTAATATAAATCACACAGAAACTTACAGTCTTCCACTGCTTGCTCTTTCACACACGGCAATGTACTCTCAATTATGTTTGACTTGACTTTCACCAATTCCCTTCTAATCTCTATGTGAAGTCAGCAAAATATGAGAGAACAAATTTTTCATATTTATCTAGGTATGTATTTTTTATAAACACTTAACAGATTGCCTAATCTTACCTCCAATTTTAGAGAGACTCAAATTTTCCTAGCTAGCACAATTAACATGGGTCATTAATGCTTCACGTAATGGACAAGTTCTTATTTAAGAAGTTCCCATTTTCCAAAAGCTACTACACCAAATGATTCCCAAAAGAAAAAGAGATGGTAGTTAAGTGAAACTGAAACTCCAGCCATTCCACTTTACTTAGTTTTTGTTTTTGAATTATCTTCCACAAGAGATGAATAAGTGGTATTTGAAACTGAAATAATGTAGACACTTAGCAGTTTATCAACTTCCTTTCTGCCCATTTTATCCTTACAGAAAACAGAATGTCATAACAATAGGTCACATTTTTAAGTTTCTGTTATGCTTTTCATTTAACATAATCTCAGCTATGGAGGGCCTGGCTGGCTCAATAGAGCATGTTAACTCTTTATCTTGGGGCTGTGATTGAGAGCCCCACGTTACACATCAAGATTACTTTTTTAAAAATTCAGCTTAAGAAGCATTCATGAAGAATTCTTTGTAGTTTGCTTTTTCAACAAATACCCTGCTCTCTTAAGAGTACTTGAGACCAAATAGCAATTTTAAATTTTAGAATTCCCAATTTTGAATAATTCCTGCAGAGTTGTTTTTACCTAACAATCAATTTTATAATTTTATTCTATATGCAAACAGAGATAATAAAGCAGACAGATGCTTCTTTAAGTTTATAATTTGTTAAATTCATCAATAATAGTGGGTCTAAGAAATAAGAAAGCCATTACTGAATGCTTCCATGTTGGATGTTCAAAGAGACATCCCAAATATCTGTCTAGAAAATGACCACTACAAATATATTCATTTGATCATTTAGGTGCAAGAAGTGTTTATTTATTCAGGATAACACAGTATTACCATATTTGAGTACTTACTTTCTATTTAACTGGTTAGGTCTCTTGAGAACTGCAACTGCTTTTCTCTGTACATCATTTTGTCTCAGAAGGCTGGCCTTCCTTTTTAATGCTGGAAAATATCGTTCTATATTCTTTCAGAAGGCAAAAAACTATGTTAAGAGATTGCTTTTTGCTATACACCCTACTACAATAAACATTTCTGAAGCAGAATGAACAGAGACTGCTGAGATGTGCACGTTATTAGAGAAGCTAAAATGACTTGATAATCTCCAGTCTAAGGGACTGAAAAGATAGCAACCACATCCATACTTAAAATACTTTCAGCAAAAGAAGAATCCTTTTTTCGATTGTGAATATGTTCACTTAGGTATTCTGGGGGATGCACAGGGAAACATGGCCCTAGAGCTCAAGAGAAGAATCAGGAAGCCAGAAACATAAATTAAGGAATCACTTATATAAACATGACTTTTGATTACCAAGTGAAGGAAAAACAAATGTGTGAAAAAAAGGAGGTTATGACAGCAAAGAAGTCTGAGTAGAGAGTTACAGAGAAGAAAAGGAATCAAGAAAATAAGCATGTGAAATGTACACTTTTTCTCCTTTACATATATAAATTCAATCCAGCATTAAAGCCTAATTCAGATTGCCATATTTTCCATGATTTTTCAAAAGTTCTTGGCAAGACAAACTTTTCTCTTTTTTTCCTAAAGATTTTATTTATTTATTTGACAGAGAAACACAGCGAGAGAGGGAACACAAGCAGAGGGAGTGAGAGAAGCAGGCTTCCTGCCAAGCAGGGAGCCCGATGTGGGACTCGAACCCAGGACCAGGGAACCATAACCTGAGCCGAAGGCAGACGCCGGTAACCTATAAACAGTATCTTAAACTTAATCTAGATTACTTTATCGTATTTCAAAAACATCAACTGACTAAAAAAACATAAAAATTTTAAGTCTTCATTTTCATGAACATTTGGAAAAGAAGTAAATGTAAAGTCAAGGATAAAGAGTATCAAGAGTATAGGGGAAATGTTAGGAAATTAGACTAATAACCCATTTCAAACTTTGTATTCTGTCTTTAATAACAACACCAAGTATCATTTTATGGGTAAATGTAAGTTCCCTCTATGCTACTGTCACATGTTTTCTTCCTTCAAAATACCTCCCATATTACAACCATACAGTTATTTGTATGATAATTTATTTAATGTTTATCTCAGTTCTCCATGAGGGATTTTCTATTGAGCTACTGCAGAATTCCTTACATCTAGCACATAGTCAGTACTCAATCACATTAATTAAATGATAAAAACACAGACTAAGATAATAACAATTCATTAATACATGCTAAACATATTCCATGGATCTAAGGTTTGTATATATGCATAAATGTGTTTTTTTAAAAGTGTAAAGGGGGGGATGCCTGGGTGGCTCAGTTGGTTAAGCGGCTGCCTTTGGCTCAGGTCATGATCCCAGCGTCCTGGGATCGAGTCCCACATCGGGCTCCTTGCTCCGCAGGGAGCCTGCTTCTCCCTCTGCCTCTGCTGCCACTCTGCCTGCCTGTGCTCTCTCTTTCTCTCCCTGACAAATAAATAAATAAAATCTTAAAAAAAAAAAAAAAAAAAAAGTGTAAGGGGGGGTGCACCTAGGTGGCTCAGTTGGTTGAGCGTCTGCCTTCGGCTCAGATCATGATCCCCATGTCCCAGCTCAGTGGGGAGTCCATTTCTCTCTCTCTCTCTCCCTGCTTGTGCTCTCTTTCTCTCAAATGTATAAAAATAAATAAATAAATAAATAAATAAAAGTGAAAAGGTAAGTTTTTCTTTCACAATAATTTTGATATAAAAAATTATACCTTGAGTGGAAAAATTTTAAGGTATTTAAATTTTATGTCAATTTTACTAAGGCATTATTTAACATACAGTAAAATTTTAGGTGTACAATTTGATGAATTTGAGTTATTACATATAATCATGTAATGACATCATAATCAAGATATAGAACACTGCACTCATCCTAAAACATTTCCTTGTGCCCCCTGCAGTCAATTCCCTTCCATGACCTTACTCCCCCCAAGGCAATGACTGATCTGTCACTAGTTTAGCCTTTTCTACAATTTCAAATAAATGGAATCATACAGAACATAGTACTATGTTTTCCTTTTGCTTAGCATGATGTTTTGAGGTGTATCTGTGCTGTCATATAATTGATGTATTCCTTTTTTTATTGCTAAATAGAATTCCATAGTATGGAGACATTTATTTTTATTGTTAAAACCAGACAAGTGATTAAAACCACCCATTAAGGGGTGCCTGGGTGGCTCAGTGGGTTAAGCCACTGCCTTCAGCTCAGGTCAGGATCTCAGGGTCCTGGGATCGAGCCCCGCATCAGGCTCTCTGCTCAGTGGAGAACCTGCTTCCCCCTCTCTCTCTGCCTGCTTCTCTGCCTACTTGTGTACTTGTGATCTCTCTGTCAAATAAATACATAAAATCTTAAAAAAAAACAACACCAAAAAAACCCATTAGTGGGAAATAGCTCCTATATATACACAACAGCAACACAACTTTTTTTTTTTTTTAAGATTTTATGTAGTTATTTGACACACACACACACACACAGAGATCAAAAGGAGGGAGGGAGGAAGGAGGGGGGGGGGGGGGGGGGGGAAGCAGGCTCCCTGCTGAGCAGAGAGCCTGACACGGGACTCGATTCCAGAACCCTGAGATCATGACCCAAGCTGAAGTCAGCAGCTTAACCCACGGAGCCACCCAGGCGTCCCAGCAACACAACTTTTTAAGTTGACAGAAGTACTAAATGGTTTACTATTACCAAAGTCAAGTTAAAAGTAATACAGAACAGGGGCACCTGGGTTGCTCAGTTGGTTAAGTGTCTGCCTTCAGCTCAGGTCACGATCCCCAGGTCCTGGGATCAAGTCTTGCATCAGGCTCCTTGTTCAGTGGGGAGTCTGCTTCTCCCTCTCCCTCTCTCTCTGCACCTCCCCCATGCTTACATTTTCTCTCTCTCTCAAATAAATAAATAAAATATTTTAAAAATTAAAAAAATTTAAAAAACTTTTTTTAAAGTTCTATGGAACATAACATACTCTTCAAGCTTTGGGAAATTCTCAATTGAACAGAAAAAAGTTACAGAATTGATACTGACGAAATTATATATGTCACTGGAAAAATCTCTAAAGAACATAAACACAACTTTTACCTGATGGGTTATTTTAAATTGGCTCTAAACAAAGAGAAAAAAAATTCATTACTGGAGACAACCATTCCCCTGTTGGCACAGCTACTTGCTCTCAGTAAATACTAGTTATATAAATGGTAGGCTATCTTCCCAGTCATTCCCCTCACAGATAAGAAAATTTATTTTTGGGGCGCCTGGGTGTCTCAGTGGGTTAAAGCCTCTGCCTTCGGCTTGGGTCACGATCCCAGGGTCCTGGGATCGAGCCCCGTATCGGGCTCTCTGCTCAGCGGGGAGCCTGCTTCCCCTTCTCTCTCTTCCTGTCTCTCTGCCTACTTGTGATCTCTCTCTGTCAAATAAATAAATAAAAAATCTTTTAAAAAATCTATTTTTATCAAAATAAAATCTCGCTAATTCACATAAGCTATGGAATATGAAAGATAAAGTAACAACATCTAATTATCATCAGAACTTTTTTAAGGTGTAAAATTCCTAAGTACATATAACAATTCAAGGCCAATTAAGCTATTATGGTAACTTGTTTAAAGAACAGAAAAAGAGGGACGCCTGGGTGGCTCAGTTGGTTAAGCAGCTGCCTTCCGCTCAGGTCATGATCCCGGCGTCCTGGGATCGATTGCTCATCAGGGAGCCTGCTTCTTCCTCTGCCTCTGCCTGCCATTCTGTCTGCCTGTGCTTGCTCTCTCTCCCTCTCTCTCTCTGACAAATAAATAAATAAAATCTTTAAAAAAAGAACAGAAAAAGATAATGAGTTATTTATATGGAAAAAGGTTTCTAATTTGCTAGAAAATAATCTGCTTCACAAGTACTGTATTTTATCCTAATCAGACTATTAATCTTATTCAGGCTGAGGACAGGGTTTTAAGAAACAGCACTTTTCAAACTTTACCTTTGCCAAAATCATTCAACTCTGAATAAATAGATCATACTATTCAGTACATTCTTACATTCTATAATTAACATTTTCAATTTTCACTATTTTCTAACAACTCAAAAGACCACATGTAGTAATTTAATATTTTTACTGGGTAAAAGTAATCAGATAGCAGTTAAACCCAACCTCCCTTCCAGTATCCATATCTCATTAACGTTTTCCAATTTTTAACAATCAGTAAACTGTGTGATAAAAGTTTTAGAGGCAAAAACAACTGCTGGTGGTGGCAAAGCTGAGAAGTTATGGAATCTAAGACAGTTGTGGTTCTTAACCAGAATATACACATTAAAAATAATTTAAAGAATGAGGTCCTCAATTTTTTTTTACAAGTATGTATTACCTGCATGATCAGAGAAACCAAAAAAATTAAAAAACAGAAGAGCAGAACATGGAAGTCCTTGGTGGCTTGGACTTACTAAACTTAAGAATTGAAGAAAAAATACTTGTGAAACTATCTGAAGGAATGCTTCAGCCAATTCAAAAATTACTCATTGAGAAATAAATAAAACTTCACTTAAAATTTGAAAAGTAGGGGCGCCTGGGTGACTCAGTGGGTTAAAGCCTCTGCCTTCGGCTCAGGTCGTGATCCCAGGGCCTGGGATCGAGCCCCGCATCGGGCTCTCTGCTCAGTGGGGAGCCTGCTCTTGTCTCTCTCTCTCTCTGCCTGCCTCTCTGCCTACTTGTGTTCTCTGTCAAATAAATAAATAAAATCTTTAAAAAAAAAATTGAAAAGTAGTTAACTTACAATGGGTAAACCACTGTAGCCTAATTAAAAATTGATATCTATCCCAGAGAAATAAAAACCTATGACCATACAGACTTACTTACATTCACAGCCACATTATTCATAATACCCAAAACTGGAAATAACCGAAATATCCAGCAACTGGTGAATGAATAAACAAAATATGGTATATCCATAAAACAGAGTATTATTCAGTAATACAAAAAGGAAAACATCATAACTAAATGCCAGATCACATATTGTCATATGATTCCCTTTATATGAAATGTGCAGAAAAGACAAGTTTATAGAAAACCTACAGAACGTACATTAATGGTTGCCTGAGGCAAATGATGAGGTATGACTACGAATGGACATGAGATTTCTTTTTAGAGTGACAGAACTGTTGTAAGGTTAGATGTGATAATTATACAACTCTGTAAATTTTCTAAAATTCACTGAATTGTACACTTAAAAAGATGCATTTTATAGTATAAAATTATACCTCAATAACCTGTTCAAAACTGTACATACACAAACACACACAGGCAAAGGAAATCAGAAACCTATAAAAAATTTCACATTGATTTTATATAAGAACATGGAAATTTAGGTATTCTTCATGAATGACAATGATTTATTTTTTACATAAGATCCAAAGCACTTCATAAAAAAAATCAAAATATTCAAATGAAATACTTTCTCAAGGAAACATTGTACTCATTCACAGAAATATTAGCACAACTAAAGGGAAGGGGTATCTGATGCAGAATTAAGCCATCATCCTACCTTATCACTTAGAGGTGGTCGATTCATAGGACTAATTCCTTTTCGAATTCCAGTTGCTTTCCTAGCTGCAAGGCCAGTGATAACTCCATAAGGACGTCTCTTTCCAGGCATTACTCTTCCTCTACGGCTCAGACTATTCTTGCCAAAACCTGTAGGAGGTTTGGAAAAAAAAAAAAAATCAATCTAAGAATGCAATTAAAGGGCACATAGGTCATAGGGTATTCTATTTCTTAAGCAGAGTGGAAGGTACGAGGGTTTTATTTTTCATTTATTATTTATATATTTCTTATATCACTATTATGTAATATTATTGCATTATTTACAAGTACTTCTTTTGAAATTACGTATTTTATTTTTAAAGAGGTAATAAACTGCACCAGCAAGGGTTTTGTTGGTGTAATGGATGGCAAAGGACTTTAAGATTCTCCTGTCTCCCTGGTAGCTACCTTCTCTCTTGCATTACTTTCTCAATGAACAACTTTCCCTTTGCAATGTGGTGTCCACTACCATGCACTTACCAAATATTTGAAATATGACTAGTCTGAATTAAGATGTAATAAAAAGGTACAGTATTTCACTAATAACTTGTATTAATTATATGCTACAAAGATATTTTGGATACATAGCATTAAATAAAATATATTATTCATATGCGGCTCACATTTTATTTCTATTGAAGGACACTGAACTTGAGTGGGTCACTATCTCATATCCCATTTACTATGTTGCAATCTGGCTTATTTTAATTTCTATTGTATTTAAACTACTTTTGCTAAAGACCCTATTGAGTTCCAATGAATATATTTTAATCTCTGTGCCACGTGACACAACTTGACTTTGTCTTTCCACTGTGTATTTTATTTATTTTAATATATTATTTAAAGATTTTATTTATTTGAGAGAGAGACAGCCAGAGAGAGCACAAACAGGGGAGAGAGGGAGAAGCAGACTCCCCACTGAGCAGGGAGCCCGAAGAGGGGTTCGATCCTAGGGTCCTGGAACATGACCTGAGCCAAAAAAGCAGCTGCTTAACTGACTGAGCCACCCAGGTGCCCCTAAGTATTTTCTAATTATGAAAAAATGAGCATGTTCATTGCAGAAATCTTAATATAAAGTACAAATGAAAATAAAAGTCACCCATTATCCCACCATCTTGGGACAACCACTAACATTCCATCTCTTGCTAGTCTTTTCTTTTACTCCTACACATTTAAAAAATTAACATTTTCAGTTTCAACTTTTTTTTTTTTTTTAAGATTTTATTTATTTATTTGACAGACAGAGATCACAAGAAGGCAGAGAGGCAGGCAGAGAGACAGGAGGAAGCAGGCTCTCTGCTGAGCAGAGAGCCCGATGTGGAGCTCGATCCCAGGACCCTGGGATCATGACCTGAGCCGAAGGCAGAGGCTTTAACCCACTGAGCCACACAGGCGCCCCAGTTTCAACTATTTTTTAAGCAACTCAAAAGACTATCACGGAGCTAATTCACAATTTTGTAGTACCATCTAGAAGGTACACTGAATCGATCTTCCTGGCAACAATACTTCATAGTCTATGTATTATTTTGTAGTGTGCATTAACACTGCATTGTAAATATTGTAATATTATTGTAAATATTATGTTTTTAATATTCTTTCATTGTATTATTTTTTTTAAGTAGGCTCCAAGCCCAATGAGGAGCTTGAACTCACGACCCTGAGATCAAGAGTCACATGCTCTACAAACTAAGCGAACCAACAGGTTCCCCTCATTGTATTATTTTTTAATGTGCCTTACTTGATCTAAAAACCTCACAATGACCACTTAAATTACTTCTAATATTAAATTATTATAAATAACATTTTTGGGGGGAGGTGAAAATGCAACAAACTTTTATTTAACTCATTAATAAAAGCATAGCAGGGAAACAAATCCAGTTCCAAAGGATTTTATATTCAGTGGCAGAAAAAAGGAATATTTAAATAAGATAGCTATAAGAAGACAAAAATCCGGTAAATGTCTTACGGGGGTGGAGGGAGCATGATTTTCAGGATTATTTTTTCTACTGGACAATTTCAAAAACCCTACTTTTATCAATTATATATAAATTTACCTCTGACTTTACAGAGTTGCAAAGTATCAGTAATACGCACTAAGAACATTGTTACAAGGACATACGTTTATTTTTTTTAATTTTTTAATTTTTTAAAAAAGATTTTATATATCTATTTGACAGAGATCACAAGTAGGCAGAGGCAGGCAGAGAGAGAGGAAGGGAAGCAGGCTCCCCGCTGAGTGGAGAGCCCAATGTGGGGCTCGATCCCAGAACCCTGGGATCATGACCTGAGCCGAAGGCAGAGGCTTTAACTCACTGAGCCACCCAGGCGCCCTGACAAGGACATACATTTAATCAATACTATATAGCAAGTCAAATTTACATTTCTTTAGATTTCTAGAGGTAATATTTTCATACACATCCAATTATTTCTTCAAGATATAAATTTCTAGAAGTTGAAATTCTACATCAAATAGTAAAACAAATTAAGGAATTTGGTTCGTGTAGTAAAAAATCTCCTTTAGAATGACTATATTTATTCATATTACCAGGAACATAATAAGGGTGCCAACTTTTTCCACATCATTGACAATGTTGAATGTTCTTTTTAATCATTCTCACTTAGTATTTGAAAAAAAAAAAAAATTTTGTCTCCTTTGGTAGTTCACTATTGAGAATGAACATTTTCCATGTGTTTTTGGCTACTGCTATTCTACCATCCATGAACTGTCATGTCATAAGCAGGGTGCCTGGGGTCAAGTTTTAATATCCTTTGATACTTTTTTTTAAAAGATTTTATTTATTTATTTGAGGGAGACACAGAACAACCAGTGGGAGCAGACAGAGGGAGAGGGAGAAGCAGGTTCCCCACTGAGCAAGGAGCCCAATGGATGACTCAGTCCCAAGGACCTGGGATCATGACCTGAGCGAAGGCAGACACCCAAGCAACTGAGCCACCCAGGCGCCCCAATATCTTTTGATACTTGGAAAGAATTTTATTAAATTTATGATTAATTTTTTTAGGAATTGACATCTTTACAATATTCATGGACAAAGTATGTCTTGCCACTTTATTCAAGTCTTCTCATCACTAAACTCGGTAAAGCTTTAAACTTTTCCTCACGTAAGTCTTATGTCTTTCTTGAGTTTATTACTATATATTTTATGTATTTTGTTGTCAATCACAAAAAGACCCCTTTTCTAACAATAATTTTCATATTGTCATTCCTGGGATTACCAAGAGCTATTAAATTTTTAATTAATACCTTTTAATCGGCCATCCCACTGAACTTATTATTTTTTTTAAGATTTTATTTATTTGACAGAGAGAGACACAGCGAGAGAGGGAACACAAGCAGGGGAGTGGGAGAGGGAGGAAGAGGCTTCCCACAGAGCAGGAAGCCAGATGCAGGGCTTGATCCCAGGACCCTAGGATCATGACCTGAGCCAAAGGCAGGTACTCAATGACTGAGCCACCCAGGAGCCCCGCACTGAACTTATTTTTAGTTCTACAGTCTTTCAAATTTTTTCTTGGGGGGAAAAGTGAATTATTTTCTTGGGATTACTGAGCAACAACTGTTATCACCTACAAATGATAGTCTTTTTTCTAATTGCACCCCAAATTCTTCTATTTCTTAATGCAATGGCCAGAAGTTCCAGAGAACCATACTAAGTAACAATTGTGGTATTGGGCACTTTTATTTTTATTTTTTTCTTAAGATTTTATCCATTTATTTGAGAGAGAACACAAGCAGAGAAAGCTGCAGGCAGAGGGAAACAGAAGCAGACTCCCCACTGAGCAGGGAGGCCAATGAAGGGCTCAATCCCAGGACCCTAGGATTATGACCTGAACTAAAGGCTTAACCAACTGAGCCACCCAGATGCCCTGTGCACTTCTATTTTGGAATTCTAATTTTGGGGGGGGAATGTCTTTAGAATGGTATCCTGTATAGTACGACACACCTGCAATATGGTAACAGGTCTTCTAAGGGAAAAGTTTCACAGCCAAACGAAAAAAAAAAACAAAAAAACAAAAACAAAACTGGCTTTCTTTACTATAGGATTTCTTAGGACTAATGTGTGTTCCATCTCTAAGTTGGGGATAATAGGGTATGTATTCCCAAACTTACCTAACTCCAGAAGGCCTTTGTGTAGTGTGCGTATTTTGAGAACGGAGTTCAACAAGACAGGAAAACTTGTTTTCATGGTTGAACCATTTACCAATTTACTGCCCTTCAGCTCCCAATTCACTCTTTACTGCCCTGCTTCTATTATAGGAACATTTCTCTTACCAGCTGGCACAGTGTTAAGTTTTCTAAGTAGAGGGCACTGGAGAGACTCTAGAGAAAGGGTTTTTTCTTTCAGGTTCTAGTGCACCCCTCAAGACTTATTCTAGGGCACAGAACACCTAGTGGTAGTCATTATCCCTCCCCTGTAAGATGAGACTGGTGAGGCACAAGAAACACTAAAGGCACAAAATCTAAGTGTGAATTACACCTTAAATGCTGGGCCCTAGGCATCTGTCCGGATCTAGTCCTAGCCATCACTAGTTCTGGCTCTACTCATCCTTCATTGAATTTAAGTTGCATCACCTCCACAGGTGGCTTCCTAGTGAGTTCCAGCAGAACGGCAACTCTGTGTGACAGAGTTCTTCCAGATTTGTTCCCTTCTTGGGTACTCTGCCTCAGTCCTAAAGTACTGATTACTTTTATAACCAGAGGAAAAGCAATAAAGACACAACTTTTTAAATTGTAAAATCAAATTATTGGGTTTTTTTAAAGTTTTATTTATTTAAGTAATCTCTACACCCAATGTGGGGCTCGAACTCATGACCTTGAGATCAAGAGTCACACACTCTTCTGACTGAGCCAGCCAGGTGCCCTTTGAAACCAAATTATTATTATTCTATGTGTGATTTCCTTCTAGAATTGAAACCAAATAAAGATTAAGCATGTTGAGGGAAACTGTATACTTAAATCTACAACTACTGTTATTTTTATTTGTATTAAATATGAAACAGATACCATTAACTCTGTTAACACACTGTGCTGAGTATTTTTTTTTTTAAAGATTTTATTTATTTATTTGACAGACAGAGATCACAAGCAGGCAGAGAGGCAGGCAGGAAGAGAGAGAAGGGGAACCAGGGGACACAGGGCTCAATCCCAGGACTCGGGGATCATGACCTGAGCTGAAGGCAGAGGCTTTAACCCACTGAGCCACCCAGGTGCCCCTGTGCTGAGTACTTTAAACAAGAACTTGATGGGCTGATGACAACATCTTAATTGTGCAGGAGAGCAAAGTGAGGTGAAGCACAGTGACTACCCAGATGTCACAGTTACAAAATGGCACAGCCATCAGTCTAGGTGCAAGTTAGTGTGGCTCCAAAACCTGAACACTTTCCAAACTGTAATATAAAAACTAAAGAATAAAAGGTAAAAAATATAAGCTAGGATACATTTCCAAAGAGAAAAAAACCAATAATTACAGAAAAAGTGGGCTCTCAGCTAGGCATTATAAAACAGCAAAATTTGATTAGGAACATAGACATAAACTTACAAGTACAAAGACATGGTTAACCACAACATAATGAGATACAGTCTAGGGAAAAGAATAAGAAATAAATGAATGTTGTGTCCTCAAATCAGAGGGCTTCATGTGGGGATAAAGAATGTATGTGACAAGGAATGAGGGATCAAAGAATTCATGATCAAGTTACATCAGTCTTGAAGCAATATCTTTGAATCAAAGAGGGAGAAAGAAGGCAATGAGACCATTTCAGATGCTACTATAGTACTCAAATGTGACATGATAAAAATGCAGAGTGGAACAAAGAAATCTGAAAGTATTCCAAAAGAATGAATGAATTAGCAAAGAGAAAGATTAAAGTGAGAAGGAATCCATTATTACACCAAAGCTTTCAGTTTAGATGAGAAAGACTCAAGAGAAAAGTCTCATTAACAAGAATGAAACTGATTAAATGGAGAAAGTAAAAGACAGAATTCTATTCCTGGCTGCCTTCTATTTCTGACTGCTGTAGTCATTGTTACCATACTCATTATCCTTTCCACTTTTATTTCTATGAGTGGCTTCTCAACCATATCTAGCAAGTTTAGATCGTCCATTCCCCCTCCCTCCCTTTATACCTTTAAACAAACTTCACCAGCTGTACCTCAATTTTAGCAATGGTTCTATTTTTCACCCTTTCATTGTCACATTTCATAAAGACAGACCTATACATACTGTCCAATTCTCTCCCCTCTCCCCACTTACCTTCTGTGTCTTATATTCCAAAAAGCATTATAGAGGTACTAAACACATCATCTAATATAGTAAGTCCTTTCTTAGTTTTATTTTTTTAAGTAAGCTCTATGCCCAACATGGGGCTTGCACTCACAACCCCAAGATAAAGAGTAGCATGCTCTATGGACTCAGCCAGCCAGGAGCCCCATCTTTTCTTAGTTTTCATCCATTCCAGCCCCTCTAGAAAGTTCTCTCCTGTCTTTTCAGAGCATCTTCATTCTTATTACTTCAACTACTACCACTAGGAAGACCCTTTCTTTCACATTTTCAGCTATAATAGAGCAGCAGTTTAACCCTAGCCATGTATCAGAACCACGTATGGAGCTTTAAAAAAAATCCCTAGGCCCAACTTCTGCGGATTCTGCTTCAGTAAAAACAGTAACAGAGTGTAGCCAGAACATGATTCTAGTTTATAAAGCTCCACAGGTGTGACAATGAAAAACTAGAGACAGGAATTTTCATTTTACATTTGAATCCTTACCCCAATCCCTTCGTGATTTCTCTCATATACTTATCAACTTACCTCAGTAGTTTCTGGAGTCTGATCACTTACACAAAGATTTGAGGGGTTTTGGGGAAATGTCAAATCACAAAGTGAATGCAATATTACTGGCTCCTTTCCAAAGCAACATACAAATATTCCCCAATCTCTTCTACCTCTAAAAGAAACCCCATTCTCAAACTTTTTGGTCTCAGGACCTCTGTTTGTTTGTTTGTTTGTTTTTTTAAGATTTTATGTGTTTATGTGAGAGAGAAAGAGAAAGACAGTGTACAAGTAGGGGGAAGGGCAGAAAGAGAGGGAGAAGCAGACTCCCCACTGAGCAAGGAGCCTGAAGTGGGCAGAAAGAGAGGGAGAAGCAGACTCCCCACTGAGCAAGGAGCCAGGACCCTGAGATTATGACCTGAGCCAAAGGCAGCCGCTCAACTGACTGAGCCAACCAGGCGCCCTCAGAACTCCTTTATACTCTTAGTTATTGAGAACTCCAGAAATTTTATTTCTGTGGGTTTATATTTATTGATATTATCATACTAGAAATGAAAACTAAAACATTTAACTATTTATTTCATTAAAACAATAATAAACCCAATACAGGGCAAATAACATATTTTTAAAGAAAAAGAACAATTACTTTCCAAAAAAAAACCAAAACTATTTAAAAGGAATGATAGCACTGTTCTGTACTTTTGCAAATCTCTTTGGTGTCTACACAGCTAGATTCTCATATATGCCGCATTCAATTTAATTATCACACGTCATGTAGACTCTGGAAAACATTTGTGAGAGGATAACAGTGAAAACCCAATTAATGTCTTAGTACTATTATAAAAATAGTTTGACCTTGTGAATCCCTTGAGTGTTGGGGATTCCCCAGGATCCCTGGACAACACTTTGAGAACTAAAACTGTATACTATTCTACCACTGAAGAATATTCAGGTTGTTTATACAAATATTTAAGTAAGTGACTAAATTACATTTTGGGCCAAGAGTTGGAAGATTTTATTCACTTATTTGTTCAGCCATCAAAAATAATTTACTCAGAGGGGCGCCTGGCTGGCTCAATTAGTAGAACATGGGACTCTTGATCTCGGGGTTGTAAGTTCAAGCCTCAAAGTTGGGTGCAGAGATTACTTTAAAAAAAAAAAAAAACTTAATAAATAAATAAATTAATAAAAATAATTTATTGAGAGTCTGCTAAAAGCTATCTATCTTATGTGTTATTTTACCTCAAGCTAACATGCTCATTGACATTACAATGTGGAAATCTGAACTTTCAACCAATCAGAGTTTGAGACAATCTTCCATCTCCCTGCACATTCAGTGACAGAAGCAGATGTTCTATTTTAGGCTCTGCCACATGTAACTGGAGAACAAACAAGCACAGGTTCAATCTTATAAGATCCTAAGCTGCCCCTAGGTATCATTTATCTTAAAGCTCAGATCATAACCCCCATAAAAGGAAAGCTTTTCTGATCCTTCATGGACCAGATCCTATTTCACCTTATCCATAATCACCACTGATTTTCTTAGCACAAAATGTATCTAAAGTCCTATAATACTGTTGGAATTTCTCTCATAACATTTCTCAACTCCATGTTTTTTGTCCTATCTCTGTTACTAGAAATTCCTTGAAGTAAAGAATCACAACTCTAAATACCCAAAGAACCTGGTCAGTTCAGGGCATTTATCATGTATTTAACATGTGGCTAGTGTAAACAAATGTATTTCTGGCTTCTGTGAACTCTGAAATTATTTTAAAGCAAATCATGTACAAAATATGGTATTCTGAGTAACTTTTAAGAATCTTTAAATATAAATCACTGGGATTAAACATTCATTTGCTATAGCTAAGTATCTTTCCAAAATTTACTTGCTTATGTTCAGCTGTTTAAGAAATTACTAGAGAAGGGGCGCCTGGGGGGCTCCGTCACTTGAGGGTCCAATTCTTGATTTCAGCTCAGGTCATGATCTCATGTGACATGGGGTTTAGCCCTGGGTGGAGTTCCTTGTTGGGCTGTGCATCTGGCACTGTGCTCAGCAGGGAGTCTGCCTGGGATTCTCTCCCTCTGCCCCTCCCATCACTCACGTGCACACATGCATGCACAGAACATGTATGCTCTCTCTCAAATGAATAAATCTTTTTTATTTTTTTTTAAAAGAAAGACATTAGAGAAATAAAATTTTGTGTAGGGTCTAACCTCAGTTACAGACATATTTTGAGGGTATGATGGCATATTAACTTAGATAATAGAACTACTTATAATCATCCTCAGCCCACAGATAATTGTTTTTTATGCTTTTTAACATACAGGATAAAAGTCAACTTAGGCTCTAGTTCATCAAACATTTTTTACATGTGTAAAAAAGAGCTAGAGTTTTTTAATTTGAGTTAAGGTTTATTCTAAAACACTGATATAACCACTAAAAAAATTAATGAATCATTAATATGGTTCTGTTACCACCTTAAATCCACTTTGGAACAAGTTGGCTGTAAATAAATAAGCCTCCAAACTGCCAAAAATAACTGTATATGCAGAGTTCCAAGATCATTAGGTCACATCTAAGGCATCCAATTCTGAGTGTTACCTCTGGAATATTTAACAAATCCTAAAAGCCCTAGATGATAATAAAAAGAATCTGAAAGTATTTTCCAAGCAGAATTGTCTCCACATATTTAAAAAGTTATCTTATAAGAAAAGAGAGTTTGCTTCCTGTAACTCTATGTAGAGTTAACGGTTGGGAAAGATTTAATTCAAATTAAGAAAACTTCCTAGTAAATAGAGTTGTCTCCAATAATGGAGTTGTCTTATGAAGTAGTATGCTCATTCACTAGATATATGTATGCTGGAGTTATGTAATTACCCACCAGATAGACTGTTAAAGAAATACCTAACAGGGAAGGAGATAAAACTTCATGCTATGTAAAATCCTTTGTAATTTGTAGCCCTAAATATAATTTACACTATTTATATACTGAGTGTACCTTAAAAATATTTTTAAGAAACAGGGTTATCACCTACTTAAAGCAACTTAAAATGTTTACCAGATTTCAAGATTAAACAAAAACCTGAGAGTAGAAAAAAATGCAAATCACAAAGGGTACTAAGATATTTCCTCCATGTTTTAAGCATGTCCTAAAAATAGCATTCTATGACCCAAAGGAATAGCTCCTTATTAAAGCTTACTTGTAAAACTTACCAGAATTCTGTTGAAGTCCCCATCGTACTCTCATCCTGAATTGCCGGGCACTACTTTGCTGGAGTTTTCTATTTAATCTCGGAAAATTCTGCTTCTTTCCTTCCTTTCGATTCAATTTGATGATATCATCTGTGATATGGGAAATGTGATGATTATTTTCATTTTAACCTAATGACTCAATTACTCAATCTCATTTTCTAGTTAATAGTCCTATGTCCCTAACTTCTTTGCTACTTTGAAAGCACTTTTATAAGACAAAAATAAGATAAAAACTCAAATCAGCCAAAGTACTTGCAGTACTGAAGAAGTTTTATAGGAAAAGTTCAATTTAGTAACCCAAAGCAGGTCTACCAATTAATGAAGATTTCTGTTATCCAGGTTTTTTTTTTTGTTTTTTTCTTTTTTTAAAGATTTTATTTATTTATTTGACAGACAGAGATCACGAGTAAACAGACAGGCAGGCACAGAGAGAGGAGGAAGCAGGCTCCCTGCCCCGCCCAGGACCCTGGGATCATGACCTAAGCCAGAGGCAGAGGCTTTAACCCACTGAGCCACGCAGACGCCCCTATCGGCAGTATTTCTTTATCTAATGCACATAAATAAGCAAAAGCCTATTTACAAAAATTACTCATATTTACTTTCCATAATCACAGAAGTGTCTAGTTTTTAAAGACCACCTTCCAATAAAACCATAGGCAGTAAAAAATAAATAAATAAGTCATTCAATTAAGAGTACGTTTCTAAAGAAGTCCACCTCTATTCAACAAATATGTATTGAGCATACCTGTGTGCAATGAATGTATGTGACAGGCTCTGCTACAATGAAAACAAACAAAAGTAAAATATGGTCCCTTTCCTCAGTTAAGTTTAAAATTATTGATGGAAACAGACAAGTAAATAGCTAATATGAAATAAAATAAGTACATAATAAAGGTATAATACAAAAAAAATACTCACTCCTCTAGCAAAATAATTCAGGGTTACCTTACTTTGCTTTCTACCTGATCTTTCAAATCTTCATTGTTTTCAAAAACACTTTTAAACTCTCCCAAAGTAATTTACAAACATCACACTGCTCTAATACCACAGCACAACAATATAAAGATCTGGAAACTAAATGTACTTCAGATTTCTATTTACAAATTTAAAAGATTTCTAGAAGCCAAAAATACTCACTTAAGAAATATCCAAATACTCTGTCCACAGTCCCAACTCCAATATTAATTTTGATTACTGATAAAGAAAATAAGCCTGGTCAACAACTTAATAAAATTTCACAAAACTAATTAACCTCAATTATTTTTTCCAAACTGCTCTAAACACAAGAACCTAACAATTATATTAATATAATTAGTTTTTTCTGAAGTAAAAGAAGGAATTACATATTACAGGAACCCTTTCTTATATATTACACTACCTAACCCATCAGTAATCTTTAAGACTCTTAACCACAAATATTCATTATAATAATTGAAATCTCCCCAAAGTACTTTGTTATCTTCTTGAGGTCAGTCCTTCCCCTAAAATAAATTCGTCCAAGTAAAGACACTCAAAAAGATTTGTTTTAAAATAAAAGGGTTTTGGGGCCCCTGGGTGGCTCAGTTGGTTAAACGTCTGCCTTCAGCTCAGGTCATGATCTCAGGGTCCTGGGACCCATCCCCACATCCGGTTCCCTGCTCAGCGGGGAATCTGCTTCTCCCTCTCCATCTTGCCCCTCCTCACCCCCCATTTGTACACTCTTTCTCTCTCTCTCTCTCAAATAAAGAAATAAAATCTTAAAAAAAAAAAAAGGTTTCATGAAGTCAGATATATGAACATGTTATATTCTCGGGGCGCAGAAAGGGAATACTTTTAAACACTTCTGAAACACTGCTTTCTTCTAACAAGGTGCTACTTACTCTTTTTTTTTTTTTTAATTTTATTTATTTATTTGACAGACACAGATCACAAGTAGGCAGAGAGACAGGCAGAGAGAGAGGGAAAAGCAGGCTCCCTGCTGAGCAGAGAATGGTGGGGGGAGGCTGGATCCCAGGACTTGGCATCATGACCCGAGCCGAAGGCAGAGGCTTTTTAACCCACTGAGCCACCCAGGCGCCCCTGTGCTAGTTATTCTTCACCAGAAGTCTGAAACCTCAGAGCCATGAGAGTACACCAAAAAAATGAATTTGCTGGGAATCATTTTTAAAAAATAAAAAAAAAATAAAATAAAAAAAAGGGCAGGGGCACCCGGGTGGCTCAGTGGGTTAAAGTCTCTGCCTTCGGCTCAGGTCATGATCCCAGGGTCCTGGGATTGAGCCCCGCATCGAGCTCTCTGCTTAGCAGGCAGCCTGCTTCCTCCTCTCTCTCTCTCCGCCTGCCTACTTGTGATCTCTGTCTGTTAAATAAATAAATAAAATCTTTTTAAAGAATTAATAAATAAAAATAAAAAATAAAAAAAAGGAACCTGAAAGAATGCTATATATTCTTGGAAGAAAGAAAAGACACCAATGTCTATTTTAACTATCTATCATAGTGCTTGATTTCTACCTTCAAGGACAATTATTCCTTCATTTTCTTCACTTGAACATCCTAACCACCAAACAAAATACATACAAAAAAACCTAGAAACTTAAGAAATGTACTGGTTATGATAATACATGTTTAAAACTCCCTGCAACATCTATACGGTTTTCTTACTTGTATGATTTGGGGCAAGTTATTTCTCCATGCCTCAGGTTTTATACAACAAGAATAACAGCAAAGGCTTATATAGCATGTTCATGTAAATATAATGCAAACCCAGCATTTTGGAGGGGAGGGAGGTGGGAGGTTGGGTGAGCCTGGTGGTGGGTATTATGGAGGGCTTGTATTGCATGGAACACTGGGTGTGGTGTATAAACAATGAATTGTGGAACACTGAAAAGAAACACACACACACACATATTTATTTTACTCTGTACCAGGTACTGTTCTAAGCAGATTATACATGCCTTTTGACTCATTTAATAGGGCAACCTTCTGAGACAGACAAGCACTGTTATTATCACTTTTTTACATATGAAGCACTGAGAAATACTCTGCCTGTAACCACATGGCTATTAAATGGCAGAGGATTTGAACTGAAGACAGTGTGGTTCTGGATTCCATGCTCTGTATCACTAGGAGCACATAGTTATCTCTAATAACTCACAGAGTTATTACAAAGCTAAACCGAGTTAACACACAAAATGTTTAGGTCAGTGCCTGCAAGATGGTAAGCACTCAATAATTATTATTATTTTATTTATTTAATAATAATAATTATTATTATGTAATAATACTTATTAAATTCTTCTTGGTCTTAGCTGAAAAGATTTCTCACTTTTTTAAAGTTCACGATTATCAGTAAGACAAGACTTGAGGCCAAACCTATTATTTCTGATGATTTACTTAATTCACATATTAGATTCTGAAGTGCGGTAACCGCAGCAATCCAAGAGTTCTTGATTTTTTACTTAAAACTCCGCAGATAAACCACAGCAAAAAAGAAAAATACCTTCCTTGGAAAAGTTAACACCTCTGTATCCACCTGTCAGGTACTTTTCAAACACTTATCCGAAAAACTAATGCCCACAGAAACAGCAAGCAGAGAACCCCATCTGATAACAGTAACTTGAGTCTTGACAAAGTGAAAATTTTAAACCAGCTAATCCAAGGGCTAGTGCCTCACTAGGATTAGATCTGTGTGCTTAATTGAATCACCGACCCTCCTACCTTTTACAAAATCCTCCCCAAACCACCCCACTCTTCCTTACAGGGGCTGGACCCCAAGCTTCACCCGGCTTCCTATTAATCCATGCCAATCTCTCCTTCAGTTTTTGCTTTTTTCCTAATTAGCTAACTTTGAGGCTTAGGCAAGGAGAGCTCGCCTTTCTACGTACCTCCTAGTAAAACACCATCTGATGAAGCCCTTGCCTTATGTTTTCTGACAAACGCCCAGGGTGGGCGCCCGATGTGGCCCCGAGGTCTGACGCCCCGCAGAAATGGCCAGCTCTCGGGGGCGTCTCTGCGCTGCCCGCACCGCGCCAGGCGTACAGGCCTGGCCGCACAAAATGCCCAACTAAGCCCTCCCCTGAACAGCGACTCTAACCGAACGCAGACCCAGCCGGGCTCTCCAAGGGCTTCTTGGGCGAGGATGGCTCGGTCGGACCTCTCCCCTCGATCCCAACAGCGCCAACGAACGAACACGCTTGAGGGGAAAGCCGCCGAGTTTTCCTCACAAAGAGCCCGGGTCGTCCGCGAGTGGTAGCGCCCCTCGACCCTCCAAACCCCGCCAGCCCGCAGCGCCGCCCACTCCCACCGCCCCTCCTCAAACACAGCCCCGCCGAGGGGCGCCCGGGTCCCTCTGGCTCAACCACCGCACCAGGTGGCGCTCCCCGTGTCCCCGCGGGCCCTCACTTGGTTCCGCCCACCCGCAAGGAAAAACTCGACCGACAACTGCGGCCAACCGCCCCTTCCCCCACAAATCGCGGTACTTGGTTCCACCAACACCCTCCCCCAACTCCAACTCGGTCCAACTCGGCTCCTTACCCAAAGACATATCAATTTTGTCAAGGTTTTCATTGCTGCGGGCTTTCGGCTGCGGCGGCGGCGGGGTCGCCATGGCTCCCACTAACCGGGTACCAAACCGGTTCATGGCTGGGGACGTCGCGCTGGAACAGTCAGCGGAGAAGGCCTGAGACAGGCCTGCCACTTCCCACTCACGCACGCAGACTAGCTGCACCGAGGGAGCGCGCACGCGTGCTAGCGGCGCCCTCGCTCTCCCACCCGCGGCTGCGGCCGGGGGGAGTGGCTACAGAGAGGAGCGGCCGGCGAGAGCGGCCCCACGCCCGGGCTTGCTCCTAGCGGCCCTTCCCGGACAGGAGGAAACATTGCACCCGCGGCTCTGGACGCTTACAAAGGCGGCTATTCGCCTTTCTGCCCCAATTGGGGGATACCGGACCCTGAACACCTCGGGATCGCATACCCTAAATGAGATTGTGTTCCTCCGACACCTTCCATTCGTCCTGCTTCAGAAAGGCCCCCTAAGCTTTGGTGCACACGAAAATTTCACACCCCACTGCAATGAAGCCTCAGAGGCAGGAGAGACCCCATACAGCTTAGAATGCAGAACTACGTCCCAGTTCCCCTCTCCCAGGCAGCTCCTCCACCTGCAATATGCGAAGTCTCCACGTCTGGATGCAGAGCAAAGCTGCAGTAACAATTCTTGCGTCACTTTACCAATAAAAGCAAATGCTAACGTTTCCCGCATCTGTACCACTTCTCAACTGACACTCCCAAAATATTTCACACGGCACTAGCTACCTTAATAACACTTCACCTTCCCTTAGGAGAGGGGTAAGTACCTCTGCTTGTTTGGCTGCATTTTTCTCTAATTCATTTGCATTGGGAATTGATAGGATTCGCTTTTCTTTCTAATCATCCTTGTAGGAAAACTGAGTATTTGATGAATTCCTGCATAATAACTTTTTTTTCCTATTTACAAAACATGATATTCCCTCTCTTCTTACCTCTTTCTCTTCCCCCAAAGCAATGTGCTTGTATGGAAGCATTTAGGTTATATCACCCTCATAACAGCTTACAGCTAAGACATTTGCATATAAGGAAAAAACCAGGGACAGGCATTCCCTCCATTTAGAAATCTCTGCCACCTTCCTCCTGTCCGCTTCCTAAAATTTCTTTTTGCATGAAGATGAACCAGTGACCTTAAGCATCCCAAAACCACGGTAGCCTGTACTTAATTATTTTCCCCCCAAACCAAAACTATAACCATAGGAGCGTCAATCAGGCCAGGACACACCTATGAAGGGGTGCAAGAAACTTTAATGGTAAAGGAAAGTTTGGATGAAAAATCCCAAGAACAATACTTGGCATGTCAAGGAGAGTAGCATATATGCTCTTAGGACAATGTGCTTGATTTTATTACTATTCCACCCAACAGCCACCACCCCTTCCCCAACTACTAAAAACCAGGGAAAATGGATTCTAGAGAGAAAAGTATGAGACATCTAGGTTTTACTGAGTGGTACCTTTTTCACTCATTTCAGTCATTCACTGTACGAACTTGGGAAGCTCGGTCTCATACTCATCTGCAAAACAAGAAGTAGTTATACTAACTACATGCATTATAGGTAATTATTTTTGGATTTCTTATGGTTCTAAAATCTTCTACGCATGAAACATTTTTCTTCACACTATCATTCTCTCCCTAGAAATAATTTTTGTAATCTCTGCTAATTTGTGGGAGTAATCTACAGGAAAGAACATTAAGTTCTTAATGTTGTGGAAGAAAAGTAATGCATTTAGAATATGGATGCATTTTGTACTTCAGATAAGACAGATAAGAAAAATCCCAAATGTATAAAATCCCACCCTCCACCAATACATATAAAGATTCCCTTTTATCCTGATTTTCTCCCCAAAACTGAAGCTCAACTCCAAATCTTCTTAACTTTAAAGGGAACATGACCCAATATTTCATTAAGCAATCCTAGCTGTTGCATTTCAGATTTTGAGATTTCCCCCACAGGCTGAGGGTCTGAATCTCAGAGCAGTCACCCAGATTCCAAAGGGAAAAACAAGGAAACGAGTAGCATTGTGTAAAGACAGGTCAATCACACACAAAATAGTAGAAACCAAAACAGCAGCCTGAGACATATGCAGCAAAAGTGAAGTGGAAGACAAACTGAGCAATCGGAACTGGGGATTGTCTAAGAAGTTCATCTGCCAGCCACAAGGGCTGGAGGTAAAAGGCCAACCCTGCATTTTCTGGGGCATGAGAGGCAGGTATTCATTTAATTATACACATTGAGCCCCAGACATTGTAATGGGCTCTGGGGATAAAATGTAAGTGAAGATGGATTCAGCCCCTATCTTCATACAGCTTGCAGAGCAAAAAAAAATTTTTTTGAGCACCTACTGGGAATAAGTACAGTACTGTGCCAGACACTGAACATATAGCCATTGTCTGGAGTAAATTAACTCAGCAGCTTCATCTAAGTCAGAATAAACACGGAATTCAAGTAACTATCCTTTTTAGAGGCTTGATTTCATATACTACACATAAGGCAACGTCTAGGATTGTCAGATAAACTACAAGATTGGCTACATTTGAATTTCAGATAAATAATGAATAAACAGCAAATTTCTTTACTACAGGGTGTTGCATGCAATATTTAGGATATATTTATATTAAACAATTATTCATTATTTATCTGAAATTCAAATTTAACTGGGAGTCTTGTATTTTTACTTTCGCTAAATCCAGCAACCTTAACATCATACCTTTCTATCAACATGTTGTGAGTCTCTTCTCACAATGTGCATGGAAATCTACATTCTATTCAAAGGTAAGCACAATTCATGTGTTTCAGTCATTAAGTTATTTCTATCAGTTTTACATTTCTCCTAAGTCCTTCTTTTTTCAGCTTTATTGAGGGGTAATTGATAGACAATAAAAGACACATATTTAAAGTGTGCAGTTTATATATGGGCATATGGTGTATAAACCTGCAAAAACACCACCATAAAGAGAATAATAAATACATCTGTCATCTCCAGAAGTTTTCCTGTGCTCCTTTATAATCCTTTCCCTAACCACTACTTAAGCAACCACTGATCCCACAGATTAATTTGCATTTTCTAGAATTTTATATAAGTAGAGTCATACAGTATATACTCTTTTTTTAAACTGGATTACTTCATTCAGCATAATTGTTTCCAATCTGTATGACTTTTATTCTTTTGCTTGCCTGATTGCACTGACTGGGGACTCCAGTACCATACTTATTTATTTATTTAAAGATTTTATTTATTTATTTGAGACAGAGAGAGAAAGAGCATGAGTAGGCAGGGAGGGAGAGGGGGAAAGGCGGACTCCCTGCTTAGCAGGGAGACTGATGAAGGCTCGATCCCAGGACCCCGAGAATATGACCTGAGCTAAAGGTAGGCACTTATATGACTGAGCCACCCAGATGCCCTCCAGTACCATATTTAAAAGGAGAGGTGAAAGCGACAATCTTTCCCTTATGACAAACCTCAGGGGGAAAGCATTATCTTCCACCAGTAAGTTAGGGGTTTTTTTTGGTAGATGCCCTTTATCAGGTTGAAGAAGTTTCCTTCTATTCCTGGTTTGTAGAGTTTTAATCATGAGTGAATATCAAATTTTATCTATATTTTTCTGCATCTATTGAGATGAGCAAATGGGGTTTTAAAATTTTTATTTTTATTTTTTTCGAATGTTGAACTATCCTTACATTTCTAGGAGAAAGCTACTTGGTCATGGTGTACTATCCTTTTTATATGTTGTTGGATTTGGTTTGCTAATGCTTTGTCAAGAACATTGTTTTTCTTTTCATGACTGATTTTTTTAAAAAAGATTTTATTTATGTATTTGAGAGAGAGCAGTGGGAGCTGGAGGGGCAGAGGGAAAAGGAGAAGCAGATACCCTGCTGTGCAGGCAGCCTGACACGGGGCTGGATCCCAGGACCCCGGGATCATAACCTGAGCCCAAGGCAGACACCCAACCGACTGAGCCACCAGGGCACCCCTCATGAGTGATACTGAGGTGTAGTTTCCATTCCTTGTAATGTCTGTCTGATTTTGGTATCAACACTTGCTTTTCAGGACAGGATTTTTGTATTTTTGGAAATTTGTAAAACTTATATTACACTGGCATATTAAGTGAGTTAGGTATAATTTTTATCACCTGTAGGTATAGTATGTATTAGTTAGGTATAATTATTATCAGTATACCTGATTCCCTTAAGCTATTTGCATCCACAGTACAGTTTTTCTTCTCTTTGCTGCTCAGTTTTTATTCTACCCCATTTGCCACTGTCTCTGCTGCAGTAGCTTTTTGTCATTTTGCTATAGCTTCCTGTTCCTCCTTGTGTTGCCCTTTTCCTTTGTTCTAGCTTTTCTAGCTTTTCTAGTCTTCTGCCTTTTAATCTTGGGATTCATTCATTTGTTCAAACAGAGTTTGAGTTCCTACTATGTGCTAGATACTGCTACAGTACAGTGAGAAAACAGAGTAGAAGAGCAGATACATGACAGGCTGGGTTGCAGGCATAGCCAAAGGCATTACTGGTCTCCATGTCCTTGACCATCAGTTTTCTCTGACTCGAGAACTTAATCTAGGCGGGCAGGGGAACCTGAAGGGGGATTCTTCGTGGACTCATGGGTTGGATCTCTGGTTCACTCCTTATTAGGCTTTGTCTTCTCTGGGCAGGGTAGGCATCCTGTCAATCAAGAATTCTAGTCAATTCACTGAAGGACTAGTTGTGGAATTTTCTAAAGCTACACATATTTATGTAAGTCACAGTTTCTCCTTGTTTACACCATGGTTTCCTTTAAAAAGTATATCCTTGATTTGTACTAGACAGTTTGGTGGTCTAGGAAGGCTCTAGAAATTCAGGATTCCAGAGTCATGAGGCCTTGAGGCATTTTTTCTTCTCCCCATGCTTCTTCTCCATTTGCACTTTGGCCTCCTTTTTCTGGGATCAAGAGCCATAGCTGGACTCTCATCTTTCTCTTTCCCTCAGGAGAGGATCCATTCTCTTGGCTCAGGTTTATTCAGCTAGAGTTTCAGAGAGCTGAGACAGAGACATATAGAATATTCTTCAAGTGTGTTAAGGATTTCCTTAGCCCTGAAATAAGATTTTTAAAAATTTCATTGTAATTTCTTAATTTCTGAATTTGTATGTATTACCCATGGAAGACAATGAGCTTTCCCATATAATTGAATAAATGAATGAATAC